GGTCGGATTATTCTACATTACACGATCGAATGGCGATCGCTCGCCTTAACTTTGACATTTAATAACTTAAGATCGGGACGTCCGATCATCAATCTGTCTGAACCTACAGACTCCTCACAACACCAGCTACAACATAATTAAAATTGGACACGATCCAACGGTCCGATCATCTCCGATCAATGGTCCAAATTTGTGAGGCTCCGATCGTCGACTAAACGACGAAATCTCAACAATTTAAACATACTATCAAGTTCAGTAACTCCAGGACTACATTCTGTCTCTAAAGCCCTAACTCAGAATCGCCACCATGCGCCGCCACCGCCAGTGGTGGTTCGGGTTACTATTTCGGCGACAGACCAACCCTAGAATCGCCGGTCAAGACCTACACCAAAATGTTCGTAATACTGAATAGAACAACTTTAATTCTTACCTCGAGGTCCAATTCGAAGTGTAAGTGGCTCAAACCGCCGGTTGAAGTTGCTGATTTCACTATTGACGAACCAACTTCCCCTAGAATCGCCGGTCAAGACGTACACCAAAATGTTCGTAATACTGAATAGAACAACTTTAATTCTTACCTCGAGGTCCAATTCGAAGTGTAAGTGGCTCAAACCGCCGGTTGAAGTTTCTGATTTCACTATTGACGAACCAACTTCGCGGCGTCGCCTTGCCTTCACCACACCTCCGATGGCTCTGATTCTTCTTGGGTTATGTTCACAAGATAGCAGGCTTCCTATCTAGGTTGGAGGTGTCGATCCCCTCCACCGTACACTGCCGCAGAAGTAGCCGGAAATCGCCTCTCCGATGAGCTCTCAAACCTCCGGGGACCAAAATGAGAAATCTGATTTGCACAGTAACCCTCCACAATTTATAAACCAAAAATCTGTCACTGTTTAAGTTTGCAATTAAGTCCCTGAAACTTCAAACGAGCATAACTTCTTCGTTTCAACTCCGATTCACGAACCGTTTGCGCCTACGCGTTCGTGAGATCAATCTCGATTTTCACGTGTCAATGTTAAGGAGGTATGTTAAGGATGCTTCACACGTAATTGATTATGGTACTGTTGAAGTCAATGGAGATGCAACTTATATAGAGGCACCTGTACGCATCTTGGACAGGATGACCAAACAGCTTAGGACAACTCAAGTGGATTTGGTCAAGGTGTTGTGGAGTCACCATGACGAGGGTGATGCTTCTTGGGAATTGGAGTCTGAAATGAGGAAGAAGTATCCTCATCTTTTTTAGGACGAGGCGGGTTGAATTTCGGGACGAAATTCCTTTAAGGAGGGTAGAATGTAATGACCTCAAAAATAATATTTGGTTTTATAATTTTTGTGGAAAATCTTATTAAGTCGTGTGATTATTTTGGGTGTTGTATGAATTTGGTTTGATGTGAAAATATTGGAATTAAGTGAGTTTAATCAAATTGGGACAAAAATACCCTTATGATTAAGTTTATGATTTTTCAAAGAAAGCACAAGAAATTGAAGTGAGAAAATTATGATTTTTGAATTGGAAAATCGAGATTGATCTCACGAATGCGTAGGCGCAAACGGTTCGTGAATCGGAGTTGAAACGAAGAAGTTATGCTCGTTTGAAGTTTTAGGGACTTAATTGCAAACTTAAACAGTGACAGATTTTTGGTTTATAAATTGTGGAGGGTTACTGTGCAAATCAGATTTCTCATTTTGGTCCCCGGAGGTTTGAGAGCTCGTCGGAGAGGCGATTTCCGTGGCTTCTGCGGCAGTGTACGGTGGAGGTGATCGACACCACCAACCTAGATAGGAAGCCTGCTATCTTGTGAACATAACCCAAGAAGAATCGGAGCCATCGGAGGTGTGGTGAAGGCAGGACGACGCCGCGAAGTTGGTTCGTCCATAGTGAAATCAGCAACTTCAACCGGCGGTTTGAGCCACTTACACTTCGAATTGGACCTCGAGGTAAGAATTAAAGTTGTTCTATTCAGTATTACGAACATTTTGGTGTACGTCTTGACCGGCGATTCTAGGGTTGGTCCGTTGCCGGAATAGTAACCCGAACCACCACTGGCGGTGGCGGCGCGTGGTGGCGATTCTGAGTTAGGGCTATAGAGACAGAATGTAGTCCTGGAGTTACTGAACTTGATAGTATGTTTAAATTGTTGAGATTCCGTCGTTTAGTCGACGATCGGAGCCTCACAAATTTGGACCATTGATCGGAGATGATCGGACCGTTGGATCGTGTCCAATTTTAATTATGTTGTAGCTGGTGTTGTGAGGAGTCTGTAGGTTCAGACAGATTGATGATCGGACTTCCCGCTCTTAAGTTATTAAATTTCAAAGTTAAGGCGAGCGATCGCCATTCGATCGTGTAATGTAGAATAATCCGATCGTTGGATTGGGTCCAAATTGTTGCAGGGTAATATCGGGACTATTTAGAGTCCATTGGTACGATCGGATTTGGAATCCGAAGTTGTGGGCCCAAGGCGGATTTTTGGGGTGTTGGTTAGACATGTGGGACCCACGGGACCCAAATAGTGACCTTTTGGACAATGGGTGTCATTGGTCATGATTCGACGTCGACAGCACGTACGTAACAGTTTTGGAGTTGGTTGGAGGAGATTTGATCACTTTGGATCCCCGGTTGGTCCAAAGGGCAATTTCGTCATTTGATGCGAAATCTTGGATTTTGGAGTTTTGTGCTAAGTTGAGCTATGTACTTTGCTTAGGTACTGTTGGAGTTTGAGTTGCTCGTTGAGGTTTGAGATTGAGGATTCGTTAAGTTGTTGAAGACGCAGCTTGGACGAGAGGTGAGTAAAACCATCCTAATCGTGAGTAAAGTCACGAATTATTATATTTATTATAATGTGACCTTGGATAATGTTAATGGCTATAATTAGCATGTTGGTTGTGATTTTATAAAGTGGTTTAATTTATTTAAAACACATGAACTTGTTCATCAACGGTTCATGAGGTAAGTGAAACCTATTTTGTTTTGAATTAATACTTTTTATTAGAGATTTTGGTGTTTAACCATATAACATATGTTGTGGATGTATGGTGGAAATTCATTCGTGAATAACCACATAAATATATATAATAAATATATATTGCTGTGATTGGTGTATTTGGCTATAAAACAATGTTTAATGTGAAACTACATTTTA